CGACATAACCGGTTGGACGCTTTAAGCGGAGTCGTTATAACCGGATTCTACTGTACTTTATGGGGTCCGCCACGCCTCCTTCTGCCTCTTATATACTTTATATTATACCCTGATTTCCCATTTTCAATGGGCTCAGGGTATAAACATATATAAATTAAATTTCACCCTTACTCGAATTCCTAAAAATTTTATGTTTTAAAAATAAAAAAATAAAAATAACATTTTAGTATATCTAAAAAGCCGAAACATTTTATAATGCCAACGCTCAAGACCTGATAGTCTATATAGGTGCTTGAACCCATAGTACGAGCCATCTGTACCATCTTTACTATAACTTAAACTCAGCTCGCTTCATTTCAAGCCGAATGAACTTCGAAGTGAAGAGCTCAAAGTATGAGCAACTTTTAGCAGTCGAAAATCTGATGAGAATCTTACTGAAAAACATTTCAGCTTTACTAAATGCTAATTACGGGGTATCGTGCAGTCGGGCAGTGACCTCTCAGCACTCTGGAGTACATCTCCTATTTCAGGCTGCTTTCGTTTACAAGCTGATGCGCAATTAATATGGCAAATCATAAGACGTCGCCAAGCGCAACCTGAGCTGCTTCACACCCATTTGATCTTGGTCGTGCGTGCCATTTGAAGTTGGAAAATACACGCACACACGCACACACACACACACACACACACACGCACACGCACACAGTGGAGCACACGCATAACCCTAACCCGCGGCGGGTCAAGGTTGATGCCGCGCTGTGATGCCCTCTGTATATGAGCGACTCGCCTCGAGTTTGTTGTGGGCGTGGCAGGTTTTTGTTGTTGTTTGTTTGTTGTTTTTATTATATTTATGGCCACTACGTGTTGTAATGGGCGTGTTGCTTTCTGGTTTTCCATTTTTTTAGAGGTTTGTTTTTGCCCATTTCATTTCATTTTTTTTTTTTTCATTTTAAGAGCCAAAGCGACAACATAAAACAGTCGTCAAATTTATTAAGTGACATTTTGCCAAGGCAAAAAACAACAGCAGCATAAAAAAGACATTTGTCGGACACACACACACACACACATGTGCAGCTAAAAGTGAAAAAAAAAGCTAGCTAGGAGTTGGCTGGGGATAGAGGGAAAACGAAAAACTCATTTCAAGTTAATTAGACGAGCGCGGAATAACAGTATATGCAGCACAGCAAAGCAGAAGAGAACGAAGACGAAGGAGAACAAGTAAAAATGGCCATAAAGGAAGATAAAAAGCGCAAGAGAAAGAGAGAGTGCGAGAGAGAGAGAGAGAGAGAGGGAGAGAGGTAGGGGGAGGCAGGCAAACCCATATAGAAACGAAATTTTGCGCTACGCAGAAAAAAAAGCGTATAATAAAATAAAAAAAGAGACAGAGAGAGAGAGAGAGAGAGTTAGTAACTGAGTGAAAGAGAGGAGCATAATGAAATTGTTGGCAGAATTGCTGGGGCTATAAATTAAATATTAATTAATTGGCCAGTCTGTCTGTTCGTGGCCAAAAACAAAAACAAAAAGCCGTCACTGAAAGAAAGGCAGCAACAACAACAATAAATGTGAGAGCGAGAGGGAGAGAGAGGGAGAGAGAGCGCGCAAATGGACTCGCTCGAAGGCCGCTCGGGCCTGGCCATGTCGCGTCGCTTATTTTGCATTTTCTAATTGCTCATCAGGCGTATGATTGTTACATTTGGGCCAGGCCAGACCATCTTGGCTAATTGCATTTTATTTCATTTCGCTCGCCCTATTGACGACAATTTGCTGGCAATTCAATTCGCCTAAAAAAAAAAAAAAAAAGCAAAAGAAAATCATGAAAACATTTTCCCAAGGCTTGTTAAAGAAAATTGTTGCTTCGCTTTGTCCGCTAATTGCATTGAAACAGTTTACATATTTAGTTGTCCCTTAGCGGGTCAACCTTCTCCCGCTCCTGCTCCCACTCCTGCTCCCGCCAACTCCCTGGCATTGCTTCCGCTTGGCTTGAGAATTCGATTTGTCGCTATGCTTTTCGCATTTCCCTTTGGCCAGCGATCCAATCAATCACCCCCAAACATCCTTTTATTGCATTGTTTCATTGCCCTCCATCCGCACAGACAGCTTAGAAAAATGAACAGCAAGCAGTCCACTTAAATAGCTTCATGACGTTTAACTTTGATCGATTGCCCCGTAAATATGGCCACGTTTATATGTATACAGTATAATATAATCTGTGGGGCTAAGCCCCTGACAGCGCATATAATGGCTTGATAAAGTCTTAAATACTCGACTTTTAGCACCGTGCCAGAGGCAACGGGCACAGCGCGTGGGCGCAACCAACCCGAATTAAAGCCAAGACAACGAGCAGTTCGATAAATTAGAGTCAAATTTAATGAACCTAGAAGGGATCATTGCTGGAGGCTCTTACCCATTGAGTCCGATAGGTGGGGAGCGATAACTGAAGTCACCTTAAATCGTTATGAAACTTTAGTTTAACTCACATTTTTATCCTTTCT